AGGTGGTGGATGCCCCATCCCTGGAAACATTCAAGGTCAGGTTAGACGGGGCTCTGAGCAACCTGATTTAGTTGAAGATGTCCCTGCCCACGGCAAGAGGGTTGGACTAGATGACATTTAGAGGTCCCTTCCAACCCAAACTATTCTATGATTCTATGACTCCAAACAGATATAAAATCTCTTCACTAAATGCAGCAGAAATAATCCCCACAAGTCTATTAATGTCGATATGTAATTAAGTTTTCATAATATCAAGAATTTTAGACTCAAAAGGGAATGTCAGCACAATTTGATGCCAACAATGAGATTGTTGGCTTTTTGGGAAACAAATTAATGATCTTATAAAAGAAAGACTCCGTTGAAAGAGTATCACTTGAAGAAGACCATGGCCTGTGTTGAATTGCGTTACACTCAATTATATTCTCTTCATATTTACTGCATGGATTTAGTCTCTTATTTATGTGAATGTCCTTTAATGTGCTAGTTAAAACTGCAGACTTTATTGCCTAATGTCTCAGAGATACATAGGGCTTTCTGCCTCCTAGGGGAAGGAGGAGAGGAAGAGAGAACACTGTAAAACAGCTAAGTAGATATAATAGATCTCCATCTGGCTTAAGAAAAAATTGAGGGAAAAAATGAGGAAAATTACTGATTGAAGTTAGAAGATTCACTCTCAGTCTGAATAATTGTTACAAATGTTTTCCTGATCTTTTTTTTTTAAATCTCCGACTTCTAAAGTAGATGTAAGTGCCCTTCCCAACTCTGATAATGCCTAAATTATCAGACATTAGTATGTTACTCGGCTACTAATGACTGCCATCGCAAGAAAGATTCTGCTGATGTTCTTGTTTCGTCTTAATTGCTCTTACCAGTGTTTGCAGATATATGGTTTACCTCCCAGCAGAGCTGGACAAATTATGTAAAAAGACAACAAGCTTGGGTATTTCCAAATGACATCCAAAAGCAGCAAGAAAGAATAGTAAGGTTACCAAGGTACCAAATAAAAATCAAATGGGAAACAAATTAATGATCAACAAAATCAATGAGTTTCAGACCAGGGAGCCAATCATTCACAGAAATCCATTGAACATTACATTGAGATAGTAAGAGAGAAATTCTGGGATTACTATACATGAAGCACAAAGAAGGAAACACCTGTTGAGGGGTGAATAAATGTAAACAAAAACATACTGACACAATGCTAGGAACAGACTCAACTACTTTTACAAATTAAACACTCACAGACCTTTAAGAATGAAAAACACTGGAATACCTTCATCCTGTACATTCTTATATTTCTCTCCTATACCAAAGAGGAGCTCCCTTTCTCCCAAGCTAACACGTCCAATCCTGTCCTTCCTCTATTTCTTAAAAGCCTCAAAAGTTCACAGTAGTCACACATTCTCCACCCTTTAAATATTCCCTGTTTGTGTGTATCCGGTACATTTAACAGTTCATTAGCAATAAAACACTACTTTCAAAGCCAGTTGTAGTGCTTTTCCCAGCTAGGTGCATCCCACTATGGCAAGAAAGCCAAAATACGTGTAAGCAGCAGTAATGATTAGCAGAAATTTAATATTCTCCCACTAAATAAACCACACGGCCAAGGCCATGAAAAGTTTGTAAGACCAAATATGAGTTATTTTGGTTCCCTTGTATTTCTTGTTTCCCTAAACAATTTTGCTAGGAAAAGGTTTTTTGAAATACCATCTACCTTTAATATTTGATTCTTCATGCAAACTTGGCTAAAGGATTGTAGCCATAATACTCACTTTTCAAATTCTGGACTGCTCTGCAAGACTATCTTCAGAGGTCTCGTGAAGTTTAAATCAGAATAGGCCTTATAGAAGAACATCTGTCTGTCTTCCTATAGCAAACATTGTTTTGTTCTCCACTGCTGATAAACTTCATGGTAAAATAAGGACGTTAGATGCTTCACAGAGCAACTAATTTGTTTAACTGTAAAAACACGCACAGCCCAAATTTTCTCCCATGGGCTTTCTTGCTTAAAAGCAAGTACATTAAAAACAGTGATAACAAGATTTGGGCTATAATCAAGGAGTAATCATAGAATCATAGAATCATTGAGGTTGGAAAAGACCTCTAAGATCATCGAGTCCAACCATCGACCCAACACCACCACCCACTAAGCCATGTCCCTAAGTGCCTCATCTACTCGTCTTTTAAATACCTCCAGGGATGGGGACTCCACCACTTCCCTGGGCAGCCTGTTCCAATGTTTAACCACTCATCATATGTATATAAAACCAGTTCTAGTTAAATCTGGACTACAGTAGTTTTGAAATAGAAACCAAAAGGAGAAACAAACATTGCAAAGGTTACATACACGTTAAACTTATCAACTATGAGTGGTCTCGTTAAGTTCACAGCAGACAGTAAAGCACATGCGTATTTGCAGAGTACATATCTGGAGTTGGGACTCACTGACTGAAAACATAGACTGAAGTAAAATATTACAAAGCAGTGATTAAAAAAAATACTTCAAAGTTATTTGAATTCTAACTTACCTGCTAAAATCTGAATTCAAAAGTATTTATTTCTTCCACATCCCTGAAGATCTCAATTAGTACAAGAAATATCTCCCTCTTCCTGAAGGCCGTCAACTGTATCATCTCATACTCACCAAGAAAACTTACAGCATTAAAAACCACTGATTTTGGCATAGAAAAAATCTTTTTGCTTATTACAAAACCACATCATTTATCATATAAATACAAAGTCTGATCTTGTGCCTTCCCAGTGGAATTATTCACTCATGTAAGCACTAAAGAATCAGCACATAATCTAACAGTATTTTAGGTTATGGTTTGGTTATCTTTTTGCAGTTACCTTGAAGTTTCTTCTATTGTCTATTCTCACCTTTCTTCAAAGCCTGTGGTAGCTGGTGGTATGACTCCTCAGGGGCAGCAAGTCTATTCAGAAAATTATGCCAATATAACTCTAGAAACTCAAGAAGATATGAGGTAGGGTGTGGCTGATGCTTAATTCTCATCAACAAAACCAGTGTCTTCAATACTCAGGACATTTCTGAGGAATGCAACAGAGGGCGGTGTTTGTGAAGACTGCTTTAGCCCTTATCTCTGTGATTAAAATCTGTGCATCATTCAAAAAATAAGTAAAAAGAGAGAAAATATGCACACCTTGGAAAGCAACTAAACTAAATTATACTAAAGGAAGTTTTAAACTTCCTTTTAAAACTATTACTATTTTTGTGACATTTTACATCTAATAAGCTTATCTCCAGGAGCACCTGACACACTTTTAATGTTACTTTGCTGACAAGTAAAACACAAACACTACTTATAAAAAAGAATTTGCAGATAGTCTAGGGACAGGCGATTACTTTGACAATTTAGAAGATATCCATGAAGATTAATTTATTAACAACATAGGAAATACAGTGGAGAAAATGGTGGCCAAATGAGGGGAAAGTTATGTTTTCATAAGTTAGTCAAATCAACAAAGAATCACGACAAGTATCTAAATATATATTTACTGTTCACATTGTTCTACTATAGTTAGAAAAAAATCTGTGTTATTAACTTCTATATTTAGTGAACAATACTGAGTGAATTTGCTAATGTAGCAATTTTGCATTACAAATACCTTGTATTGTTATCCACCTAAAGCTTATATAACGAAACAAGAGTCTTTGACAGATAAATCCCTGGTTCCTGCTGTATTATCCAGAAGAAAACAAACTTCATAAAGCTGCTTACTCTAAAGAAGAGAGACATGGAAAGGTTCCACTCCATCAAAGCACTGCTGTTTCAAAGTTTCCTTTTGATCAATAGAAAACTCCAAGCAAGAAAATTCACTTTTAAAGGGATTTACTAGCAATGCGTTTGAAGGAATAGAACAAAAGATTGAGAAAAGAGCATTAGGTCACTTTAGTTTTGGCTACCAAATATTTTTTCTGACAATAACTGATACTAGCATACCTGGTTTTCTATCTATGTGAGGTACATGTATTTTCCTCTGATATACTGTCTCATGCAAAATTTGCCTGAAACTTAGCAGTTTATGGCCACTATGGTAATTTTTACAGGGTAGAACAGTTGTAAATAAAAAGAACTTCATGACTAGAGCAATACACATGCAGCATGCACAGGATATGGAAAAAGCCACCCAGCCTTTTGTTTTCCTTTCTGATTGTTGTTTGTAGATTGTAGATAAGATTGAAGAATCTTTTCTTTCTAATGCTATAATTAAATTTATTAGGGCAGTTAAATGAGAAAACTTAATTAATTTTCCTAATTTGATTTAGAATGCTTTATATGGAGACATACTATATATAAATTTAGGACACTACAAAGTTATCTTTTCCTCCTATTAAATACAATTCTATTTTTAATGGCCATAATAATTATCAGATCCCCTCTACTGTATTGTTTGATTTAAGTTTGTATAATGAGCACTGAATCTTAAAGTGTGCTACATAACACAGGCTATTTTCACAGCCAGTTCCAGTCTTCCCAACGGTGTAGGCAAAAGTGAATTTTTCTACCCAAGGGGTCATGAAACAAAAAGAACATCTGTAAAACAAAGCTTGCCAAATGACAGGAGAAGAAGGACAAGGACACCTTCTGGCAGGGATCCCCCCAGCAGTTACCATCAGTTGCACATGTCCAGAGGCAAACCTGCAGGACCTGCAAGCTGAGGTTTTCCAGCTCCACCACAGGCAATTTAGGCTATGGGTCATTAGTATCTCATGGTCCCCAGCAGTCTGTTGAGTTTGGCAGCTGCCTATTCAGCCTGTATCTAGAATCAGCCCTGCTTATTGTAGAATAGCTCTGCAAGGAGAGCAGTGACTGAGAGAACCTGCGTACATGCACTAAGCTACCCCTCTAAACCCACTCACAGTATCACTGCAGTCCAGCTCACCTCAGCTGTCCTGCCAGCAGAGTCATGCCCTGAATGGCATCAGAAAGAAGGTAAAGCTGGGTCCCCAGCGTTCACACCCACTGCTGCCAAACTGCCCTTGTACAGCCTGCCTGCTCTGCCTGAAAAGCATATCCCACACTTCTGTTACGTGATTCTCAATGCTGCATACGTGCCGGGTTTGCAGAGTTTTATGTTATCCACAGAAAGAGAGTAACCAACATCCCCCCACTGCACATGTAAATTCAGATGCTGGCCATCTGGACCCTGTGGAATAACCGTTGCTTTCACAACCAATAAAATACTTCCTGAACTGAAAAGGCTGGATGCCTTGTACCCCAGTGCAATTAGTCTCAAATGGAGAACCATGCAGAAGACTATCTGAAATGGGTTTCCAAAGGCGTTAAATTAGTATCTGACCACCTGTGGGTAAGACAAGAAGAAAAGGAGCTGCTTCATTTGCACTTGTGTGGAGATGGACACTGTTGAGAAAAGGCACCCAGAAAAAGACAATGAGAAGGCTGAGGATTATTTCAGAGGTATACTTTGCAATATGTTAAAGCTGGATACCATTTCAGGCTTATTAATGTTCAGCATTTGAAAACGTTCTCTCTTGTGTAAGTTCTAAACATTGTGTTCAAATGCTAACATACTGAAATTAATCATCTTTCCGTGAATCAGATAGGAAAGCAAAACAATGAGTAATTTTATTTCTTCCGCTGTGTCTCAAGTCCTAGCAGATCCAGCAGCAGTATGAGTGATTTACTAAGTCTGCATTTATTCAGGGCAGCACTTTTTTTACTGGAGGATACTTTCTATGTGCGTGTTTGTGAGACCAATACAACCATAAGATGCTCACACTATGAGAAATGATCCTCTCACAGGCCAGAGAGCATAAGTCAGAAACTGAAAAGAAGTTTTGGAATTATACTTTGAGTAAACAAATAAAGCTGACTGTTTATTATTAACATAAGTCCAAAGTGCCACATACTGCCAGTGTCACCATAATGCAGAACATTTTGGCATTACTCACTGTAATTGCTTATGGACAAGATATGTTTCTGAATTTATTGCCTATGAGTACCCAACAGATACAGCACCATCAAGACATTTTTTTCAGGATGATATTCAAATGTTTTTGGAACTACTTGAGGTTCTCACAGTATAATTAGTGTAAATGTAAATTAATATAAACTCAAAGACAGAAGCTAGAGCAGACTGGCAAATAGGAGGGGAATCTTCCTAAAGTAAATTTTGCCTCAGCAAGCCTTTACCCTGCCCTGTGATGCAGGAGCTAAATTTAACCAGACAAGTTTTCAGATTTCTAGTTGTGGTGAGTGCTTGAAAAAAAGAAATTGTACCTGCTTTGTCAATGAATCAATGACAGCCCAGGTTTTGTCTGTGAGCCTGCCTGAGGATTCCTTTCTTCCACTCTCATCACAGGTTTCAGCAGCCTTCTGCTGCTGCAGGCAGCAACCTCCTGAATTGTCCTTGAACTATGCCATGTTTTTCCACCTGTAGAGGAATTAAGACCCTCTAAGGGAGGTAGCAATATAAGGCCTGTTCTCTGCAGTCTGGCACACTCTTCTTTAGCAGGAGCAGAAAAAAAAAGTCACTGAAATGAATGAGCTGGTGTAGCCCTGTTATTTGTGATACATCAAAACAGAAGTGTGCTGCCCACTTCTGCCAGAAGGAGGGAGCAGTTTCATGTGAATTCTAATCCACTTGTTTCCTTTTCATTTCCATTGTCTGCATGACATGAGGCAGCTGGTTGTTTTGTCCACCTCCAGTGAAATAAAATTCAACCTGTGAATTTCAGAGCTTTACAAGAATTCAGGAGCGGGACTTCCACCAGACATTTGGTTTTGCTAATGAGGTCTCTGTGGGGATGGGGAGGTGGGGAAATGGAGCTTTGAGGCAACCCAGACTTATTACTTGTGAATGACTCTCACTAAGAACTAACAGAGACAGAATTAAGAATAACAGGAGAAAATTGGAGAAAACATGGATGCTAAATGTGCTCGGATGTTTAGGGAAGAATCCAGCGATATCTGTCAGACAAGTTTATACATTCCATCTAATAGAATAATTTCAGTATAAAGAAATATTCTGTTTTGCAAATCTTTTGCTAGACAGGCAATAATATTATTAAGTATCATCTCTAGTTCCTCTCCATGTAAAATTAAGTGTCCAGGGCCATGTGAATTCAGACAAGGCAAGCCTTCCAAGTCAAAACTATGGCTCATCTGCATAGCTGGAGGTATTCAAACACAAATGATACAAGTCAGCAGGACAAATAAAGCTGTCAGGAAACTGATAGAGCATAGGGGTTGTACCAGGTCGCTCTGCAGCAAAGCTTCAATCTCAACATTTATCCTTTGGAGAGGGTATGTTGATGGTATTCTTCTATCTTCTCACTTCCACCAATTTTATGTCAGTGGTCAGCTCCATTTAGTTCAGGAATATTATTGCTGCTGAAACAGAGGAATCAGGCACTGTAATGTCTTCCACTGTTTGTGGCACAAAGAGTAAAAGGAGTCACACAGTGAGAACACGGAAGACTTCTAAACTGATGTGGGTAAGGACAGTTTGAAGTTGAATCTTTTGAGTTTAAAGACTGAAGTCTTTCTGTTCCTTGAGAAATGACAAAGGAAAGAATGATGAGCTGACTCAGCTAAGCAGTTTTGCAAACATCATGCTAACTCATATGACAAAATTCAACTTCACAGACTTAAACCTTTCTTGCAGCTTCAAATGTGGCATGCAAGCATTTCAGCTGGAAATTTCCCATACTACCTGTTGCAATCAATTGTACACCATTGGCATAAAGGCCAGCTTGCAACTGGAAATGTTGTTATTCAATTTCAACTTCACACTAAAAGAACTGACTACAGTTGTGTATACTAGCCAATCCTGCTGAGAACACCAACGGAGCAAACATTTTACTCTACTACATCGGTAGTAACATGCTGTGTTTAGGATAATTTGCTGGCAAAATTTCTCTTTGCTTGTATATTTGTTAATATTTTTTAAGCAGAAATTTCCATCTACCTGTATCAAAAGCTTTTCCCTCCTTTAAAGCAATGCCTGTTGTACACGTGAGGTCTTTTTGCATGGAAAAATCAGTTAATTTGTATTAATTCATAATTCACAGTTCACACATCTTATAAAAAGAGAAAGTTCAAAATTTTTTTAAATCGCTCTTCTGTTTTTTGGATAACTTTATGCTTGTAGTAAAAAAAATTCCAGTTTTTCTGCTGGGATTCTAGCCAATGCTTCACATTTTGCATCAAAAAATGAAAGACAATGATAATTATTGCAACTCTTGGCATTTTCTGCAGGATGATGATTACAGTTTTCTCAAGGAATCAGTAAACACCTTGATTTGGAAGGATTAATCACACATGTGGTGTTGGATTGGACAATGCCTGCTCCTGAGGGCTCTTCAGAATCCAGTTGCCAAAGATTCAGGATCTGACTTTTCTCCACTAACAGCAGACAGATATTGCTGATTCTGGGATATTCTAATTGATATTCTGGGATATACTCACTGGTATATATCTTTCATTTTGATACGATAATTCAGTTGACTTTGTTTACTGACACAAATTATTACAAAATGATCTATTTTTTTGAGTGATCATTTTTATTTCCACTATTTAAGCTTCTTGACCTTCTGCCCAATACTTACTCTAAATACTTTCTCTTTTTATATTCTGTGAAACTCTTTCTTCTAAAATCACCAATGACCTCCATTCCTAGGACCATTGTGTTACCATCAAAAGAATATATTTGCCTTGATACATATGGATTTACTTTCTGCTATTATCATAATTAAATTTATGACTGTGTAGTTCCTATTTTCTCATAAACAGTGGCATTATTCATTATGCCAGGAAATGTCAAAAGTTATTTATATAAGAATATGTATTGGAAATCTTTCAATAGAATAATTATATTGCTAGAGGAATACCAGTACACCTACCCATCTTGTGCACTCTCATTCCAAAATAAAAATGCCTACCTTAGTAGTTACATTGTCAAAGTTATACTAGTACAATGGCACTGTTAAGAGTATACTAGTGGCTGGTCTTAAAGAACCTGCTTAGGGTGACTGCTGTTAATGAAGTAATTGACTTTATTAACCTCAGCAGAAAGGCTAAAATGAGTTTGGTTTTTCATATGTATGTACCAATGCCATTATTCTCTACTACTAAAAACATCACCCCAATAAATTAATTTTCACATAAACATGCAACAGATGCTAATAAACTCTTGCCGCACCAATTTCGACAAGATTGAGAAAACTCCTTTCTATCAGCAGTCTACCAGGGCCACTCTCAAACCAGCAACCAGCTGCTTGTTTACGAGTGATGAGACACCTCCAGCCTGGGACCAGATGAGCAAATTCCTGCCAGAAAGGGCAGAATCATTCCCAGTACTCTCTAAGAATAATTCATCATTAAAAATTGAATGCAGTTTGTGTTTGTAATGACATCCAGCATTTAATGGTCTCAGAGTTGGCCTATAACAAGCTGGTGGAACTGGCAGATTGTTGGCCTTGCCTCTCCCATGGTTTGAAGGATACACTCAGCATATACTACCCAGAGCTGCCCCTTTGTGGGAGAAGGGTGTTGGGGGGAGTCTGGCCCCGTGATCAGCCCAGAGCATGCTCAGGACCTGCACACAGAGATTTAGGCAGTGGGCTGTTTCTACATGCTGTCCTCAAGGAGAAACTCATCCAGCATGCTGTAAATATGTCAAGGCCTTTCACAGTGCTGATGTACTGATTTTTCCTCAATTGCATCCTGTCTGTCTGTGAATCACAAATTGGCATAACATGCTAGGCAGAAATGGACAGTTTCAGAAATAATTTGCATTCTGATAGCCAATTTCCACTTCTGATCCATTTATATCTTCCTAGGGCACGTTTGCTGAAGAAAAATAAACTCACATAGAGCACAGAGCACAGCAAAATTATTACACCATTTCAGCAGAGGCTATATGTGCTTTAAAAAAAAAAATGTTTAGGAGAAGCCAGTTTATTTCTATAGAAATTCAAAAATTCTTGAGCCTTTTGGAACCTAATCAAAAAGAGCCGGTGATGAATTGCTGTGACAATTTACCTCCTCCTTGCACAGTCCAGGCTCCTATTCATTACCTGAAGATTTACATTTGTGCTACAGTAGAAGCCTGCTAAATGTATAGCATTGTCACTGAAATAAATTCATTCATTTAGGATGTCTCTGTCTACCAAGATGATTGCTTATAGGGCTTTATTACCTGAAATAGTTATGTTTTGCTGTATATCAAATGTTGTATCCATCTGACACACCTGTTTATAATGGAGGTTAATTTTTCCTGGTGTTTATTTTACACGGAAAACAGGAATCAGACAGTCTTAAGCCGTGAAAGTTTGGTGAAGAAGATTTACACTGGAGCCAAATGAAGCACCTATACCCCTTGCAAGGAGGACAGTATGTAATTCTCTCTTAACAGAAAAGCCTTGTCAGAAATCAGGGTCTTCATAGCAGAAGCTATTACAGCAGCTTTCCACAATGGAGTATCAGAAAAATTCAAACGCCTGAGTCATGTAGACTATATCGCTTACACAGCAGTGCACGCTTTTCCTTTCAGAAGCCTGTACACCTGCTCTGACATTACTGCCAGAAACAATATCATGCTGTTCTTCCCTACATCTCTGGGTTTGAAGTTTTTGGAAACTTGGCAGGAAACACTGCCAAGATACTGGGGAAAACATGGCAATATAAAGAAGATTGTATTCATTCTCAAACTCAAAATAAGGAGGCACAAATTGGAAATGCATCAGCTTTACTTTTGTATAGCTTCGTAAAAGCTGACTAATTTAAGTAACTCAAACCTTTGACTGTGGTCTGCTTTTAACTTATTTTCCCACCATTATAATTAAGGGACTCTTTACATGTTCAGTCTTTTGTAAATCTTAGAAATCTCTCTAGATATTACCTTAGAAATTCTCCTAGATATTTTAGGTTAATGGGTAGAATGTTAAATAGCTACAAGAGTTACTACTGTTCCTTTAGCAATGAGCCAAAAAACATACATCAGACTATTTCCTTTTACAGTGTCACAGTGATCTGTTTTGTTTTGCACTTGACTTTTCTACAATTCAGGGCTTTTTTTTTTTCCTCTCAAGACTTTGATCTGACATTTTCAAACTTTCCATCTTTTATCACTCACTTTAGAAAAAAACCAAGCAACTCTTTGGGAGTGCAATGAGGAATACAGGAAGACAACAGGAACAGAAACCCTATCATTGGAAGACAGCAAGAGTCAATGAGCCCCAAAAACAGCTGTTCATACATATTGTATCCTAATAACTCGAGTAATTTGTCAAGCGTGTCTAATACGCAGATATCTAACAGAACAGCGAGCTACCAGGTCACCTTTGAAAAGAATAATTTGAAAGACCACTGCAGATAGTAGCCTTTTAAGTAAGATCCTCAAAAAAAGGTGAAGTAAAATGGTATATGTAAAGATGGTTCAATAAGAAAAAATGGGGAAAATGGGGTATTATGAAGAAACCGAATTAACAAGGAAGGCTTAAATGACTTATAAAGGACATTAATTTGTACCAATCTTCCAAGATTTTGAACACAAACCTTCAGAATTGTAATTTTACAAGCTGAACTGGACTATTGTTCTTTCTACATCTTGTTTATATTTGCTATTCTTGCAGTATCGGGGCTTGTTTCATTGTGATGTCCAGGTAATGAAACTGAGATCTGAATAGCAATGTTTGTATCTAGCATTAACAGACTGAAAGACTTCCTAAATATGCTTTGTAATCTCTGTCTTTCAATTTATACTTTCCAAGTGATGTGCTGTCATCATTAATTATGCTAACAAATAAATACAAATGTTCTGATGTAATAAAATACTGTACACATCAGATAACTGCCTGATTATAGTCATCTTATTATCATCAATCATTATTTTCACCTCTTTTCTAAAGAGGATAAACTCTGCCTGACAAATGGCTATTGTCAAAATCAGCAGAAAATAACTTGCTTTCAGGCTTTTAAGAGGAAGAGTACTTTACATGTAACTTTGTAAAAAGTACAAGCCGTTGAAAAGATCTGACATTGTCCTTTAGCGTTTACTTCCCGCTTTGTCAAATCACTGAATAACGCAAACAGGAAGCAGATTTTCAGTTAATGTCGTGAAGAATTTTAACCTTAAAAGACAGATTCAGAGATGTCAGAGATGCTGACAAATATCCCAATCTCTTTCCACAGGAGGATAGGGTAAATGAGAGGAATAGGAAGCTCTCTAAATACCTGAGTATTTATGCAAAAGTGATAGGTGCCCTTAGCACTTAAAATAAATGCACAGTGGACAAGGCATAAGATTGGAAACTCAGTATTAGCCAAAGTATTTGCACTGTTTTGGTATAAAAAATGAAAATCGGTAGCTTTCTCAATTTCTTTAATCCATGCTCTGAAAAATGTTTGGAAAAGGTAAGTGTGCCAGCAGGAAGCAAAAATGCCATAAAAGACATTCATGTGGTTGTGTTTGTCAGGAATATCTTTGCACCCCATTTGAACACTCTTCCAGCAGTTGCACTCTGCTCTCTCTGCTAAGGGCTGGACTCAGAAGTTTCCCCAAACTCCTTTTGTGCCAGGCACTTAAATACCTCTAAATATAAGCCACATATGCCCTAGATAACTTATTGGAATGTAAAATAGCAGCTACCTGGTAGAACTGATTTTAAAATCCCTGTTGAAATTTCACATGAGTAAGCCTTGTTTCCTGATCAGATGAATTCAAAACAATAGTTTAGGGCCAATATTCACCCTAATATAGAATACTGCAGCAAGGTCTAGATACCTGGTTGTTTGGGACATTCCATCTACAATTCTCCTTCCCTTCTTCCTATTTCTGTCCTAATGCCAAAAGTAAAAAATGCCACCTAATTCTTTACATTGATCTGTTTCAGGCCTTCATCATCAGCCTGAGAAAGAGTTTTCTGTGCGTCTAAAGTACCCAGCATAGGTACCTTTGATGATACTATCAACATAAATAAATAAAGAAATACATTATTGCCATCGTAAGAGGGAGTTAAACATCCTTTGTGTTTAAGGGCCAGACTGACTTTGTTGTGGCCCTTTGCAAAGGAGGAAGTCTCAAATAACAAAGAGCAAACACAACCCATAAGTAGGTGTTCTCACACTAACATTTCAAGGAGCAAAAACCCTACTAAAATCATAGTAAGCTCAATGATAATGTGTGAACAAAGAATGGAGGTTATGTTCATCGCATAACTTCTTGTGAAGAGCTAATGTGTAAACATTTAAAACTCCAGTTTCAGTTCTCTGAGGTTTGGAAGCTTTCTATAAATTTCAGCTGGCACAGTTCCCACTTTTAACATGGTTGTACTTAAATAGAGAGGGATGGGGAAGTAATGTTACATTATCTGGAGACCAGACAAAATTTCTTTAGAGAAAGAAGGATACACGTCATGAATCTCTCAAGTCTCTATCTCTCAAGTTTATCAGATAGAGACTGGAAGAGGGAATCTGGTGCCTCCTGGGAAAATGAAGGGTTTCCCAGCTGCCTAGTGTTATAGTTTGAACCAGCAGATAGCAGGCTGAAAAGAAATAATGCTGCTGCCATTCAGCAGTCCCTCAGCTGATCACTAGGCTGGAAAATAAACACAGTAATACAACAGATAACTGTGGGAGAAGATAATAGTGAGGAAGAACAAAAGCCACAGGAGTAAAACTCTTATATTTTTGATAGGTAGGTGGACAGAAAGACCTGCGGAAGACTTTGGACACACACAGTGTGATTCCTACTGAGACCTGAGTGCCTCCAATGTGTGAGCAAGGGACACAACACAATGCAGAAGTAGCAGTCCCTGAAGGACAAGTTTTCTCCCTGTGGAGCTAAGTTTCCCTTCCCTGCAAGCTCCCAGGTTAACTTTGCTGCCTTACAGCTGTCAACCCTACTGCCTTCTGCGATGCTTCAAAATAAGTTGTATGGGAAACTTAAGGGTTCTTTGCTACTTATCTTCTCATACTATGGGTTCCACCATAGGAAAGTGTGGCCCACCTCATTGTATTTTCATACATACTATGTGTTGTGCTGCTTTATTAGTAGAACCTGGAGTGTTAAAACAGCCTTTTGCTGTTCATATTTGCAATCCCTAGATATGAGGCACTTAAATAAGAGAGGCTGGTCTAGATGCTGATCGTGGTTAGATTTTGCACAGACATTACTAAACATGACACCTCTCACATCCTTACAAGACATCCCACAGTTGTTATTATTCTCCTGGTCTCTTAAGATCAGATGCTGCACGTAACTGCCCTTCTCAGCCTCTGAGCAGCTGATCTTGGCTGGTCCAACAGATTTCTGTAGAAATTAACAGGTTTTGGTAAAAATGTTCAGTGGTCATTGGTCCAACCACTTAGATGACCTTAGTAAAATGTGGTTCTTTGTTAAACAATGGGAATAACTGTTTCATCTCCTGTTTCTCAGGAACAGGCACGATGATTCAACCACTGCGTAACAGTTGAAACCAAGTCACTCAAGCAAACAAAATAAAATGTCTTAACTTATTCTCCACTAAACTTAAGGGGTATAACAATAAAGTTGCTTAGGTATGCTGCTTTATAAAGCCTCAAACAAAAAAATTTAAAACTGTGCCAAAGCCAATGACAACATCTGTCTGAGATCACAGATATCAGCCTGTTCAGAATTAAATGGCAGAAACTTTTGATCTAGAAATTACTTTCTATCCAAAAATCTAGGAACACTTTATCATAGACAGAATAAGAAGAAAATTAAAATAAAAAAGCAGCAGCAGCAAGAGTTAAGAGAAAGTGGCGAAAGCACAGCAAAGAAATGAAGACAGCGGAGAATAGCTTTTTGATACCTTATTTGCTTCCAGAATTATGTTAACAGTAATAGTCTAATAATATTGTACATCTTTAGAGACAGACAAACTGATAGCATTGAGTTTGGCATATTCTCAGCCAAGTGTATTAGGAATGCCTCATTCACCAGAGAGAGATTTAACAGAATATGATGTTTCTATTTGTATTACCCCTTTTTATTTCCTTTGATTTATTAACTTTGAATATGCAGCTTACAAGTCATTTGTAGCAGAGTCTCACAGTTCAAAAAATGAAGATATTATCTACCAGTTCAAATGGGATTCAAATACTGGCCCTAGACCCACTTACTTACTGTGTACTGGAGAGGTGGCTGTTGTCAAGGGCAGCTGGGATCTTCACCTAACAGAGACTGAAATCTCCATAACTGTGAAGCTGTCACAGCTGATTAAAATATCCAGCTCAGCATGAGATGAAGAGGCAAGTGGGGTGAATGGACAGAAATCTTTGGCCAGCACAGTCATTAGCCTGTTTAAATTTATACAGTAGACCACACAGCCAGCTTAGAGGTGAATAAACACTCTCTCTCCTCCCTGACCTTTCCACCCAGGCACCCACCATTTGCGACTTGGGCCAGACCGAGGATCTAGCTCATGGCATTTGACTGTCCTTCACAGCATTTTGGAGAGTGAGGTCAAAGGAGACAACCCGATCATTTAGTCTGACCTTCTATAATACATATTCCATCGTAAAACCTTATATCAGGCCCAAAGACTGCAGAGCAAATTTACTCTTAAAACACAGCCAGAAAACAAGGTAAGATGAAGAAGGTACCAGTGCCAGAGACTCCAAGGAAGACACAGTCAGAGAGGCAGAGGAAGCTAAACCCTTTGGAAGGAAAAAAAAAATCAAATCCCACTGGTGCACACATGTATTAATGTTTAACCTTGGTGCACTCTTATAGGATGTATTTTGTGATATTCAGAATTTTCTGTGAGAAAGGCAACATTTTTTGCAGGTCTGATATGAAGTTTGGGTATATATGTTGAATTAAATATTGTTCTCTCTTGAAGAATTATAGCTTTTATCTCTAAGAAAAACAAACTAAAATAATAAATGTGCTACTTGTGATTATGTTAGCAAAACTTCTTTGTTGCTAATGTTCTCTGTGCTCCAGCCTGTGAAACACTGAATGCTCTCAACTGCGTGTTTAGCCCCTGACCCTCACAGGATCAAGACTGAAGCCAGACAGAATCCTGCATTAGCTCTTTTCAGCTAAGCAGTCTTAAAAGCAGGGGGGTAAGTGCTGTATTGGATAGCATAATGTGTTACATGGCAGGAACAACAAAAAAATCCTCTTATATTCCTGTCCCGTCAGAAGTCATTCTGCTCAAATTAAAAAAAAAAAAAGTTTTCTAGTCAGCTGTGAATCTGTAAACTAGGTGCTGGAAGATACATTTTGAAGATTTTCTCTGGTCTAACTTTCAAAGTGACATCAGGATTTCAGGGAGTCTTGCATGTTTATTTCAGACAACACAAATATACCATGACTGCTTTAGTAGTCTTACTCATCTGGTTAGAAAGCTATTCCTGTAGGTAAATGCCTGCTGTGAGACCTAAGTGTTAGCAGGTCTTCTCCTAGCTCTCGTCAGCTAAATAACAGCTCTGAGAACAAACATCTATCTTCTACAGGATGGCATAACCACTATTAAGTGAGTTACACTGACCTAACTTTAGTACAAATTCTTTTCTAACCCTTGCACTATGCTACAGATCATCTCCTCATACACACAGAAAATGTTTTAAGAATAAGTATTTAGTTAAAAACCGTCAGTTTTAACTGCCATAATGTTGCCATCAGTACCGCACAACTGAAACCGGTTGTACAACAAACTCTAGTATTACGGTATTGATGAGGAGAAGATCCAAGAAACGGTGAACCAGATTCCCTGCTTATGCCAGCGCAAAGGCTCTGACTGGTTCTTGGCAGCCACAGTCTCCTCCCCACATGGGGAACCATGGCAGGGGGGACCAGACTAAAGAAGGCTCCAGTGAAGCCTTCCTCAGAGATAGGTGGTGAGAACTTCAGCTGCTATTACTTGCAACTCGCTATTTGTTGACATATAGAAGGAATATTAAACAGACACCAATAGACATCTTCAGTGGCTTAAACAATTTGAAAGCATTCAACTTGTGGTGTTCCAATTCAGACTGAATTACTTAATTTGGAAATGACCACTTTATTACTTAGATATTTATGCATGGAAATAGGTACATTGTTCTGAGCAGAGTGGAAAACATTAGTTCTAATTATATTTATTATGCAGTAAATGTTGAGGTTACAGAAATTACTGTCTTACTCAGAAGGGAATTCCCTTAAAGTATACATACAAAATAGGAAATGAGAATGCTAATTCATAATTCTTGTGACAGACTTGAGCTGAAAAAGTGATTTGTAGAAAACTACTTAAAAGTATGTAGCATTGAAAATGAACTGCAATATCTGCAGAGATTTTACTGAGTTATTCAATAAGGAATATAACGACATGTTTTTAAGGTAATGCAGAAAAGAGTCAATATATCATTTTACATGACCTAGTAGCTTTTTGGTACGTATGCTCACATGTTCCTTGTACCACTACAGAACACCATCATTCTGATGTTCACATTTAAGCATTTTAAAGGGTTTGACTTGGACATAGTTCTAGGAGAAACCATATGGGCTGCTGAGTCAATCTCCTGCTACCCACATGCATTCACATCACATACCACTTTTTTATAATTTGATTAAAGCTTGACATGCCTGCCTTATTGCATGCCCTGTTAATGCAGATAAGATATTTCAAACTATCTTGCATTTATTTGCAGGTAAGGAACATGCATACAAGTAGGACTGTTCACAGCTGTGCTCCTGCACTCTACCTTACGTATTCCCATACCACCGCTACAGCCCATACCACTTCACAGGTAAGTGAACTAGATCCTTCCTATTCTGTCCTGTGTATTAATAGTTAAGGCTGCTCATACATAGGGATGAGCAGAATTTGCCCCATGCAATATCTGCACCAGTGAAAAAGATGCAGAAACCAGATGGATCTCAGCAGGACCTCAGTGTTCAGGCTGTGATTGAGAAGCCAGCCATTAAGGCATGGAAAAAAAAAATCATAAAATCAGCAAGCGCTATAGAACTAATAAATCACTGAATCCCAGAGTGTCATGATTTTAGTGACCTTTCAGAAGGTATCAGTGTTATGATAGCTACAAAGCGTTTCAACATACCCGGGAAAAATGCAGCATGTACAACTCAAGGTATCAGCAGAAGGACTACACTCTCAGGAAGTTCCCAGAGTGTGTGGGACTGATTTTTAATCCTTACACTGAAAGAGTTCCCAAAGGGTCCCATTTATTTAGGCCATGCCAGCTACTCCCCTGCATATCCTGCAGTCACTGGACAAGGTCCAGAGCACATGTTCCCAGGGTCATATTTCCATTTGGGACATACAGAACCTGCCGTGCTTTTCCTTGGCAGCTGAGTAAAAGCCCTTCTCCACCCTTCCTATAATCCTCTCCTATCTGTAATTCCTCCCTGACTCTTTTCAAATCATAATTATTTTCCTAATTTTGAATTAATAACAAGACAGCCATCTCCACAATCACTACATCGTTCCCTGTTTTAATTTGGCCATGGAGGGGAAAAGCAAGCACATGTACTTTCTATGTTTTTCAGTGGTCTTTAAAGCAAACAATACAATCACAATACACACATCTTGAGTCAGACTGGGACAGCAGCAACTTTTCTTCACCTTGCCTTTTGGTGGTGTGCAAGTGGCCTGGATCAGAAGGAGATGAGGTACTCTGTGTAGAAACAGGGTCCACACAGTTTCTCCCATTCCTCATTCACAGAAAACTGAGACAAAATCAGTTCTTCTAAACACATCAATGTAACAAATGTAAACCACTCCTTTTGGAAGGAGGTGCGGGGGCAGGGATAGGAGAAGGGTGTTATTGTAAAGAATCAAACAGAACCAATTGACTGGTTAAAAGATCATATGCTGTCCTTCCAGATGTCCCACCCTTGCCTCCACAGTGCTCTTTTCAATATGTATACTGGCATTTCTAACATACTCATTTCAGTGATACCCAGGCACTAGCTTGAGAGCATTCATTTTCCACTGTCTCTTTGTCTGTGCTATAGAATTAAGGAGTAATTTTGTTTTTACTATTGAATGTTTCCTTTCTTTGTCTGAAAAAAAATGGCTAATTCCTCCTTCATTGTTAATGCTGTAGACTTCATTTCTTTTAGAGTCTGAGCACAGAAACTGAAAGGATTTATTTATTCTATTATAGATTACTACTTCCATCAGATTTTTCCAGGGCTTCACTTGTCAGGAATTATTTCACCACACAGATGTGTTCATGCTGCCACTCTGTGGCAGTGAAGAGGTAAGTAAATCAGTAATGTTCATGTTTATGTTGCCTTCAAAAATCTCTTGGAATGATTCCTAAGTTAAATGAAATATCATGCACACATTTTCTGACTGCAGAACAGGAATGCGCTCATATAGCTCAGCCGCTTGAGTTCACACCAGGCAAGTACAAGCAGTGGCTCCAATGAAAGCCATACTACTACTCCAGATCTCCCAAATATTACAGACATACTCAAGAGTAGAATTTAGTTCTCCTTATCTCTTCTGGGGCTTTTAAGATAACATTATTGCATACAATATACAGAATAACTTGATAGTCTTCTTCCCAGGTCCACTGGAGGTATTTGAATTGGAGTTTCCTCTTCACTTTGCTGGTATAAATCCTGAGTTAGGCAGACGACTTTGTGTTCTGCTACAAATGCAACAGAACAAACTTTGTTTTTCTGACCCAGGCAGCCAGTCAAATAACATTCAGTTTTCTACTTTCTCTGAAGCCCTTACATGTCTGTCAGGGCCAAAACATCTCCAGCCCCAACAGCTGCTTTACTGCAGTAGAATATACAGAAATTCAAAAGAGGCAACAGAAAGTGTTGATCTCAAGCAGAGAGGCAGCTGGCAGACCTCTGTAATTAAATTCCTGGCAGTCTTTGTATGTTTTTATAATTTTCCCTCAGTCAGCAGATAAAATTGAGTGTGTCGACGCCCAGAACTCATTGTATATTCTTTTAAATGTCACCACACATTTGCAGGTCACTGCTCAGTTAGGCTCCTGCAGTTTTCCATTTACAAATCTAATTCCTTAATTGTTTCTGAAGAATCAAACCACACATGATTTCAGGTCTTCAGTGATTTCAGGTCTGCCCACTCCCTCCCAGACACGAGCATACCAGCTGGTCCTATCTACAGCCAAGGCTCTCCTACTTGGATTATGACTTGACAGGATCTCATACACCTCTGTACTTTAAAAATTATCCTTACTGACAAAGTTTTCAATTAGAAAGAACTAAGCAAAGAGTACAGTGAAATGGAACAATTATATTTTCCTAACAGTTTAACCAAAGAATCTGTTCCTGTCCTACA